AAGGTGACGTAGTCATGATAATACCACGCAGTAACAATCTATATCTCATTCTTCGTCGCAGTTACATCGGTAATTGTAATGCTGTTTTTATCATGCTGTACTAAGATTTGAAGATTTGATATGGTCTGGTCACCGTGATAAGGTTAAAGTGTCCATTCATGGACCTTGTATTCAAACGTAACACCCCTCCCCCGATGTGTAACGGTGAGTCTTCGTGTTGGTACTAATATAAAATAAGTTGAAGTGAAAGTCGAATGCCATCAGTATCAAGTGCTCTGGTCGTCGATGTCATTGTTGATGTCATGTAAAATACGAAAACAGGAAAACAAAATAAAAATATGCGGTAATGATTTGGATGTGTTATTAAAGATGAAGAATAGATCATGAATTTAATCCGTATTTTGAAAAATAGAGAAATTATATGCATGAAAATTGAGCAATAGAAACTGGTAATCCAGAGGGGAAAATCCCTCTTTAAGAGTCTGTATAAATAGATAGAGCAGTCAAGTAGTCACAGTGAAATCTTTGGTTTCCGATTGAAGGTAATCATTGTTTTGTGAATGTTGTCGTTTGTCTTGGGTAGCGGAAGTAATCAAATCTAAAAACCATAGTTTACACGAGTGGTTGGACAGAGCATTGAATATATTCGATTGTGGCCAGCAAATAACGTCACGTTTTAACAAAATAGAGTTGGGAGACATAACCACGAGGTATATCCGCCCTACATTTCACCAAGGATAGGTCGTTTGTTTTAATGTTAGTTATTCTCTACCGGCATTTAACAGATCTGTAAGAAGTACTCTGATGATTCCTTACATGATTTAGAAGACTGTTTAAAAAAAATTACAATATTGGCATGTGTAAAGCGATTTTATAGAAGATGTATTAGAAAAGAATACATTTATTTAATTTTACGTGTGCCCCACAAATGAAATCAGATTGAAGTCAGGTATTTAATGATATCATATAGACGTATGTACAGTGGGTAATAAGTCTGTTTAAAAGTTCGCTTTTGTAGTTAAAGGTCTTAATATGAGATAATAACTCAGTCACACCACCAAACTGACTCAACACCGACCCTAACCAATTGACTTATGGCCATTCAGATTAATGTTTGGTCAGTTGTTGGTCTGATGTTGGGATGTTGTCGGTCTGTTGTCGGTCTGGTGTTCGTCTGTTGTCGTTCTCGTGTCTGTTTACTGTTGGTCTGTTGTTGGTCTACTGTCAGTCTAATGTCGTTCTGGTGTCGGTCTGGTGTAGGTCTGTTGTTGGTTTAATGTTGGTCTGATGTCAGTCTGTTGTCAGTCTAGTGTCGTTCTGGTGTCGGTCTGGTGTCGGTCTGTTGTTGGTTTAATGCTGGTCTGTTGTCGGTCTGTTATCGGTCTTGTGTGGTCTGGTGCCGGTCTGGTGTTGGACTGGCGTCGGTCTGGTGTCGGTATGTTGTCGGTCTGGTGTTGGTCTCGTTGGCGTGAATGGGGTATAAGAGATAAGGCATGTTTTTTTTATTCTGTCGCGGTCTGGTCTTGGTTTCGTTGGTGTGACTAAGGTATTACTGTTTGATACAAAATGCTCTCACTAATTATAGGTCAGGAATCCTTGAGTCTATTGCCAAGTCCAATATATCATGATTACATGTAGTAGCAGTATCATGATTCAATGTCGACGGTGTAGTCGCATTGACATTGCTTTGTACGAGTCATCTCCACAGTCCATTAGTATAGGTTCCTTGTTCAACCTCAAGTTATCCTGCATAAGGTCAGGAACGTCAACATTTATTACGTCCTCGAGAGTATGATAGTTTTGGGACAAAATTGTTCATTTTCTCTGGTTCATGAATCGAGTCACGTAGAGGGGAAGAGTGGAAAAGAGCAAGATCATTTTGTCTTTGTACTTTTAAATTACTCACAGCGGCATCATATAAGGTTGTGTCTTCATAGCTTGTCTACAAAGTCAGGGTCAGTCTCATACAAAGCGAAATTAACCAAGTTACACTACAAAGTTTTGAGGCAATGATAATCTTTATCATTTGTATTTATTTTGAACACACAGTCCCCTGAAAAATACAACAAAAATCAATAACATGTAAAATGGGAAACAACATTAACCTGTGGCTTCTTCAGACCAAGTGCACTAAACAATTAATGTTGACTTTGTGGGTCAATTCTCCCATCAAAAACTCAATTTGTTATATTCTTTATATTACGGACTGTGTACCAATTTGTATATTGAACACTTGACGTTGAATGATCCCCTACTCGTATAGTTTTAATTATATGCCGTGAAAACAAATTATCTGAGCAATATTAAATTTATATATAAAAAATGGCAATAATTACGTTATCATGCCGTATGCTGTCTGTCTTTGAGCAAATTTATCCTCTACATTTTGCATTTATCGGGCTTCATAACGCCTAATCGTGTCAACGGCAACGCAATAGACTATTTACGTCACAGTAGGAGTCAGATTCGAAAAACACCGTCGTGCCCTACTTTATGAAAGTTCACCGAAGTTATGTGTCCATGTATAAATCATGAATGTATTTATATAGTCAGCGGCCACGGGGCCATAAAACACCAGTCATAGTTCATTCGTGAGAGGAATCGGTCATCGTGCACTGAATCGTAACATGTATGTATGTAGTCGATGCCATAAAACACTGAGAAGTTTCTATAAAGTCATTGGCCGTCGTTGGTACATGTGTATCTATAAAACTTTAATCACGAATCAGAAATCAGAAGGGCGTGTCCCCGTTGATAAATGAGTTAATCTACTTCATTGGTCATTGAGGATAATTTTATAGTTATTAAATATGAATTAATTGTCGACGTAAATCATCGTCAATCCTAAGTCAAGAGTGACTCTACTTAATCTGTAATTATTATCATAATTTAGAATACTGCAATTAAAAAAAAAACATGTTGTATACGATGCTAGAGAACCCGCGATAAGTCAGTTCATCTAAATTAGTTGGGCATGTCATAAAGAATATATTGTTTTGGACCCGGTCAAGTCCAATAATTAGTCATAGGTCATCATACGCAGGAGATGGCGACTTAATGAACAAGTCTAAGGCTGATTTCACAGATTGGTTTATCTTTAAATGATGAGTTTTATACTTGTCACAACGAAACAACGTCAAGTCCATGTAATAAGTTCGTTTAAGTTAGGACATAATACATGTAACTCAGTGTGGGTATTCTACCATAAGTTTTGAACTAAGAATAGTTTTCCCTTCTTGAGGTGGGAGGGGTGCTTGTCCTAAAATAAAAGTAATGAAATTGTTCCTTTCAAAGATATCTTGCACCAGACATGCCAAATAAATATAGAAATGTATCATTGAATAAACATTGTACAACTGTCTATTTGAGAATGTATTCATCAATAAATTCTTGCAACGTGTCGAATAGTGATGGTCATGGTCATTTTGGAAAAGCTGTGACGTCAGTGTAACTTTCAAAACAATATATAAAATCTACAAATATAGGTCAACATCAGAGTAGATTGACTTGCACAAGTTTGTCCGTCAGTAATATTTTCGTTAATGTCAAACGGGCATTAAATAACTTTTAACGTCTTACTAATATAACTGCAGGTGTGATACTGATAACTGAAACAACAGTTGGCAAACCGTGTAGCAGACCTTTTACGGGTAGTCAAAGATTCCCTGGCTGAGGGGGGGGGGCATAAGTCTGAAATTCTGTAACAAGTAAAAAAGGATCATCAGGATTTTCGTGTGATTTTTGTTTTAAAACAATTCTGACAAGGAAAACAAAAGTCAGTCATCAGTCCATGCAAGGTTCTCCTTTTTTTCCTTCTTCCCCCCTCCTGTTTTGTTTTGCCCCCGGTAGCCCTTGGATTTGCCACTGTTTTAGTAACATTTATACTAACCTGAATAAAAAGACTTATTAAGTAGTCAGTATATACATGTAGTAGTCACTAACTTGTCCATAATTGAGAAATATGGTGCTGGGTCTGAATCACTCGTTGATGGGCTAACTTCCTGTCAAGTCCATCGATAGCGATTGGGCTATTTACTCAAGCGTAGACGTCTATTCATAGTCTATAGTCGAATAATTTCGTTTGTATGTTAATGGATAGAGATACGTCATATATTCGGTACAATAATAAATGTATGGTAAAGAGTAATTGTCAGAAAACTCTTGTAATTTTGTAGTAATTTTGTAGGTCAAATCAAGCACTACGTTTTACAATCTCAAGTTCTGCTATGTTGTCACTTATATTTTTGTAGGCATTGTTAAGGTCTAGGCCTGTTTCAGAGTCAGTATCGGTTGTATGTCGAAAGCCAAAGTTCAAAACAATTTCGTTTTGTCACAGTTTCAATGTACATCGTCGTATGCTTCGTATTTAATGAAATTATCAGTATTCGTTACCAGTATGATATTATTAGAAACATAAACAATAAAAGCGTAGTCAGAGGTCAAACATTGGTCGGAAACTCACTTAACTCTAATTACCTCAACAACAAGATACAATTTTTCAAACCGGAGTGAAAATCATCCAAAATCAAAGGAGACTTTTATGTCATTCTTGATTGTAAAGAACTTATCACTTTTGGTGGTTGTGCGCTGAACGTGGACACCTCAGGTCAATTTCAGAAAATGATGAATATCGTCATTTTTTTGCCATCAGCGAGACTCGCGGCATGCAGTATCAAATACTACGTGTGACTTAAAGGCATTAAATGTATTTCAAAACAGTACAGTGATGTTTGATGTGGGTTCCAAGGCCATGTATGACAAAGAGTTGATACATATCAATCGCAACTTATTTACGATTGATATCAATCACAACCATGTACATAAGAGATAGGAGATTGCAAACTTGCGATTGATTGGAGGACTTGCGATTGATTTAGATCAATCGCATCTATTTGTAAGATGGGGCCCAGAAGGATGATGTCTAGTACAGAGATCGCATTTGGATTTTAACAAGGGACTTGTCCAGTATGTTACGATGAAGTAGAGGTGATTGAAGAAAGAACATGAAAGCTTAAAGTCCATCCATGTGATCAGTCCGTTCGGTCAACATAGTAGAGGCGCTCGAGCGCCATGATCACGATGTCTATATTAATGTCCTGAAGCCGTTTAAAAATAGAATCTCTTGCCAAGCTTTAATCCTGTATTTCAAATTTGTAATACATTTATATTTCGGTAATTTGATAATACTGCATTGACAACATGAAATATCAGAGTCAGATTGTATTGTACGGTCATTTCATCCTGTAATTAAATTTACGAATGAAATGTTCATTATAATCTAAGTCGCGCGATAACAACAGAATGCCAGTCTCTTAAATCAGTCTCCCAATTGAATGTTTGTACGTCTGAGCAAAACCGCATCTTAAGTCATATACCGTTAGGCTGTAAGGTGTAACATTTTCATCACTCGGCAAGTCCGGTCGCTGCCATCAGTTCGTCTGTTCGGAGTATTTACTTCCGTTTTCGCTAGGGAATATTTGATGTTTAGTCAATATTGTAGGGTGGGCCAAGACAAATCTTATCCAGACAATGGTAACATTTTGAGTCTAAATTTGCAATTTCTCAAATTATGGAGTATTTTCTAATTACTTCGTAAAATCTCATATCCACATGATATTGGTAAAAAACGTCCCAAAACATTATATTTTTTTAAAAACTAAAATTGTTTAAATTGAAAAAGTTTGAAAACGTAAATGCCAGTCTTAAGTCTTTGGTATAGGTGAGGAATTCGTTTACATGGTTACAACTCAAAATTAATCATTGATTTCAGGCAACCTGAGTACAATCACAATACAATCAAAGCCATGTTTCGGCTTTTTACTGTTTAAGTTGCAGTTTAACTGAGATATACCATGTTTACATTTCATTTCAGCTACAAAATTTGTGACCGTGAATTTCATTGGTATCGCCATCTGTAGCATATTCTTAGCCTAATATATGAACCTAACATAGCAACATGAATGGGCGTTAACAGCACCCTGAGGCGAAAGATGACATGGACGATCGAAAATAGCTTACATATTAGAACTCGGCATAGATTTCTAAAGAGATTGGTAAAACACAATGACTTTATTTTAAGGAGAATGTTTCATGGATTATAAACTGCATATGGGGGATACTAAAACTGACACATATAAAATGGACAATTTTTGTTAAATGAAGGGCCCCGGCAAAATGGCCAAGCCTTAACAGTTTCTGGCTTAAAATACGCTTTTCAAACGTTTAAGCGTTTCAGGGTCAATTTTTAAACTTTTAATTACATTTGACATCCCGGACAATTCTAGAGGCTGAAAGACTTTTTGACGCTAAATAGGACAACAATCTTAAATGAACGTAATTTTTAAACGATATTTCATGAATGTCTTAGGCTTGATCGGAACGTTGGCGTTTCGTTGTTGCGGAAAGAATGGCGACGCTTCTTGCTACAACATATTATTCTGATGAATGCTCTCCTATATTCTTTGTTAAAGCACGTGTATATACAAGGGTTAAACGCCGAGGACACGTAACCCAGCCACGTAAAGGCGATGAAGAGTTCGTCAGGTATCTGGCAAGTTGTGCAGAAACCATTGGCGAGATGCATGACAAAGAAAGGCAGCCAGAGAATTATAAAACACGCGAAGACTACCACAAGAGTCTTGGCCGCCCTCTTTTCACGTTTGTTCGATAGCATTTTCTGCCGCGTATCCGGAACGGCTTCCACCACGGTGCTTCCGTACCCAAGTTTTTGTCCTGACTTACGATTCATATGGAAGCTGATTCGAAGCGGACGTCTGCGATAGTCGTTCCCCGGCGAAGGGGGCGCTCCATTACCCTGCACCGTAAGGTACGTCTTGTCCGGTGATGGCGGTGGTGGTGGAGTGGAAGATCGTGATCGTGAGACACACTCGCGCGTCGGTGACGGCTGTGGTGGCGGCGTCTGTCCCACAGAACGTTGTGCCGCTAAACCTTTGCGTCTGCGTAATTTGCGCACAGCGCGAACGTCCACAACGATCATCACCGCCAAAGGCACATAGAAGGAACCCATCGAGGAATAGATGATGAATGTCTTATCGAAGAAACCGCAAGCCTGGCCATCCTCGCTTAATGTCTTCTCAGGGTTGATGAATCCCTGGATGAATAGAGGTGCACAGATTGCTATGGATACCACCCAGACGGGGATGATGGTGCCCAAGATTCGCTTCTGGGAGTTGACGCGCTCACGGGAGTACATCAACGGGAAGGTAACGGCAAGGTAACGGTTGACTGCGATGGCGCAGAGGTGGAGAATGGAAGCCGTACATAGAAGAACATCGAGAGATAGGTGTGTGACACAGAGAGCAAGGCCGAATCCCCAACCTCCTCGAACCTGAAAATTACAAAGAGAAAGACAAGAAAGGGACAATTAGAATATGTATATTACCTGTAAAATAGGTACTTCTTCAATAAAAGATGCTATTTAACGCTAGTTTTAAAGAGACAGGCTTTTCTTCCCCACAATTAGAATAATTTTATTTAGGTCTTTCATTTCCGTTTTAAAGTTGCGTTACATCACAACTTTCTAAGCAAGATGCACGCACGATCAGACTTAAAACGCGGTGTGATAAAAAAAAAAAACGATAAAAATTGAACTTTGAACACCTTGCGAAAGTCTATAATAAAGCATTTGAGCACAAAAATGTTAAGACGAAATCTTTATAGATACAAGTATTTATAACCTTTGTAAATTACGAAAACGATAGAGACATAACAAATAATAAGGAGCCTATTAACCTTGTGCTTTAAGTTTTAAAGAAAATTGCATTCTCTTGTTGGCTGGTAGCACAGCCTACAAACCTTCAACATACCCATCAACAATCAGTATCCTATTTTTACAACTAATGGAGTGATTATAAATCGTCATCACAAGCGCAAGTGGCGTATATAATGTCATGATTGATTTGGTGACACGTGTGCAAATAGACTAGGAGGAGACCACTGAGACGCTGATGTAGCTGAAGTTACAGACCATCGTACATGTATTCAATAGGTATGGTGGTCTTGAACAAACAACCAGTAAATGTCTTGTAAATCTTGCACAAACACCATGCTTGCGCAGTATATGATTTGGGGTTTTCAGAATGATGAATAAGAAGAAGATTGCGAAATGGTTTCAAAATCTTTATTGGCTTGCAATAATTCACATCTAATAATAGAAGTATGGGCGATAACAGTTAAGTAGGTCATGTTCTGCGTCTGTTGGGTACCATGTTACAGAATGATTCAGAATGGTTTTTGAATATAGATATGAGTTTTTATGATACACCATTTAATAAATTATCAAATTATTTCGTTGATATTGATTTAGGAACAGATTGTTAAAGTTTCTGTGGACTCGATCGAGAGGAATAAATTGTTGTCGGAACATTTTCAAAAAGTTACAGGAAGATGATGGACCGCGATTTAATTTGAGTAAGAGATTGGTGTATGATGTTCCAGGATGGATAGATGACTCTTCACGTATCCAAGTAGAACGTGGCAGACCAAGAAAACTACAAAAGTCTTTGGCTATATGAATGGAATAACAGAGACTTGAAAATGAAACCGATACGGAAAAGTTCATTCCATTTCAAGATATAGTTTCAGGTGACCAGACACATAGTCCTTCGTTAATCTATTCTGGTAGGTATTACTGACTCTAAGGCGACCCATCTCGGGCAGCGTACTTTCACAAGTCAACTCAGAGGTTCTCCAAACGCTCGTTCCCATGCCCAAAATGATGTTTCATTCCAGCATCGCGTACTTACATCATTCATGTGTCTGAGTATCAGATGTGAGCGGAAAGGGATGTACAGCACGCAAGGGATAAACTTCTGCTTACATGATAACACGTAGGTGGGACTGTGGGAATATTCCTGTCTGGACTTTTTTTTCGCATGGCTAACTTGTAAGGATCAGCTTATTTAGAATGTGGTCTAATCATCATGAACTAATCGTATATCTCACTCTCCGCTGTTGGTTCAGCTGCAAAGTCCTATGAAATTGAATGCATCGAATTGCATTGGGCAGGGCTCCCGGCAAGATTCATTCACTCCGCCACTTTAACTAATCTAACCAAGTTGAAAAATTAAGCAAACATCGAGAGAGGGAGGGATGGAAGGAGGGAAAGAGATCCGGTGGAGCGCATGGTCTAAAAGAAGACGCCGATGGAGTCATAGAACTTGAAGAAGCACCACCGCGGAAATGTTTAAAGGGCAGGGTATCAAACGCCATCTATATTCGTCCTTCACCACATTTTCGAAGCATATGGAAAACCTCAAGCTGGTGTATTTTACTCAATAAAATGACTTCCTGATGATCTCTTCATTCCCATGCCTTTGTTTTTTAAAAGAGCAGAGAGTCTGTTTTTCTCAAGCGATGATCTTCGTGTCACCTTGGAACGTCAGACATGATCTTAACATTCAATCTCAGGCTAGACGAAGCTTGGAGCGGTTTCCTTTGAAACCAAAACTTTGTATAGCTTTTTCTGTTTTCCCGCTTGCGAAAGATGAAGTTATATATTTATATGATAAACATTAAGAGACAGAGAGAGAGAGAGAGAGAGAGAGAGAAAGATGGAGAGAGCGACAGATGCAGACATAAAAACAAGAGACAATACATGAACAGAGACAGAGACCGACGGACATTACGGAAAGAGCGAGACAGATAAATAGACAAATAGGGGCAGAGAGAGAGAGAGAGAGAGTGAGAGAAAGAAAGAAAGACAGACACAAACACTCAAACACACACACACATACACGCGCGCACAGATAGTCAGACAGACGATGAGAAAAGAGACGGAGAGAGAGAGAGACAGACAGAGGTAGGCAGGCAGACGGACAAGGGACAAGACATGGACAGAGACAGTCGACCAGACAGACGATAAGAGAAAGAGGCAGGCAGACAGACAAGGGACAAGACATGGACAGAGACAGTCGACCAGACAGACGATAAGAGAAGGAGGCAGACAGAAAGACAAGGGACAAGACATACAGAGAGAGAGAGAGAGAGAGAGACCGACTTATAGTACGGAAAGAGCGAAAAAGATAAATAAACGGATGGAGGCAGAAAGAAAGATGGATTGGAAGACGGATGAGGGAGAGACAAAGAGTGTGTGCATTACTTACTAGGTATAGATCACTTATGTCTTTAATTTGAAAAGCAATTACGGAGAAGATGAAGAAAACTTCGTGATAGATCACTAATGTCTTTAATTTGAAAAACAATTACGGAGAAGATAAAGAAAACTTTGTCTTGAACAATAATTGAGAGGTAATTAATATATTTACAATAATGTGTAATTTAGAAATTAAGCCTTGCACATCATTGAACTAATAAGGCATGTCATGTAAATTAGCACTTGATTGAAAACAATTAATTAATCTAGACAGAATACAAGGAGCTATGTCGATTGTCATTTACGTTTTGTTTTCATGGCCATTCTATCAGAAACAACATCTCTTCAAACACGTTCATATCTACAGGAGATATACTATTATAGATAGATTGAAAGAATACCGCTCAAAATACACACACGCACCCATACACGCACACGCGCACACATACGCACAATCATACCCACACACACAAACACATATATTTATATATATGAATATACCTAAAATGTATATATATAATTATGTGAGGATGAGCACATTAATTATGAGCCATGAACATAAACGTTGGGGGAATATTCTCTGCGACTAGAGGATGAAAAAGAAAAAAACTCTTGCTATTTCTGGAAGCAGTTTAAATGCCCCGGTAATCTTGAGGTGTAAGTAATGTCAAATAAATCCGTTATTGAACTAAGAATGACGTCACGACATACCTGGATTCTATACACCATGTACTCAAATTGGCAACATATGGTCGGTTTGGCAGCAGTTTTAAAAAGCCAGAGCAGAAAACCAGGGTAGGGAATATTAAGACAATGCAATAATACTAATGACTATTTTCATCTATATCTTCCATCTATATGCCAACTCTTCATCCCATTTAAACGGGTAGAGAGGGAAGGAGAGAGAGAGAGAGAGAGAGAGAGAGAGAGAGGGAGAGAGAGAAAGAGGAAGTTAAAGAGAGGGAAAGAGAAAGAAAAGGAAGAGGAATAGAGAAATATATAGAGGGAGAGAGACAGAGACAGAGAGGGAGATAGAGAGAGAGAGAGAGAAGGAGAGCACACGAAGGGCGGTGGAAGGGAGAAGCAAACTTGTTCACCACAATTACCCAAGCGGTCGTCAAACAAAACACATAACCACTGCGTGCTGATGGATGACAAAGTAATTCCAAAAGTAAACCCGGGACGTATATAGGTGGGGTAACCGAGCAAGGCATTCGAGGTACGCAATACACTCTACCATCCATCTAAATCTATTATTTGAGCATTCACTGATGTTGTCCAGGGCGGTGATTGATTAGTTACAAGCATCTGGCCTGAGCTGTGCAAGTCAACATTACGATCGCCCTATAGAGCTGTCATTTCAACCAATCAGGGACCATCGTCAGCGTTGCTTCTTATCACGTGACATCAAACGAGATTGGGCGGAGTACACGTAAGGAATAGCGTGTGGTGGTAGAACGTAGTAACCAGCCATCATTCCCAAAACGAATATGTGTATTCAAAGAGTCATGTAAAAATATTGATCATTCAAGAGACAAACGTTCACTCTACATACAAATAGATTATTCTGTTAAAGATATGTTATGCTGGTCTTTTCCTTGCATAATTAACGTTCTTTTGCTAGAAGAAGACTAAAGGAAACAGAACAAAATATCGGGAAATAAATAAAAGAGAGAGTGAACGATTTATATAATTATATAGACAAATACATAAACAGAGAGAAAGAAAGAGAGAGGGGGAGGGAGAGAGGGTGGGATGTGGGAGGGAGGGGTGTAACCAGGGGCGTACGCAGGGGGGGGGGGGGGGGGGTTGGGGGTTCAAACCCCCCCCCCTTTGGTATTTTTATGTGTGTAAACCCCCCTAAAAAAAACTAAAACCCCCCCCTTTGTTTTTTTTTTTTTTTTTTTTTTAAATTAAAAAAAAAAAAAAAAAATTATGCCCACGGCTAACGTTAAGTGACCTTACCCCCCCCCCCCCCCCAAAAAAAGTCAAATTTTCAAATTTCGAGACCAAAAAAAAAAAGTGTCCGCTTACCCCCCCCCCCACTGAGCGACTTTTCGGCCGGCGCGATTTTCAAATTTTCGGGAGCAAAATATTTGGGCCAGATTTTAAAAACCCCCCTTGAAAAAGTCCTGCGTTCGCCCCTGGGTGTAACACATGTATACGAGTAGCGTATAAGTTGAGATTACTTAAATAGCTTAAATACGTTAATAATGTATTCTGACTGTCGAGAA